CACAAGAATGCTTAAAAGTGCAGCATTCAGCAAGGCGCTTAAATTAGCTTTAATTTTCATCCATAATTGGATCGAAATTTTTGGAAATTTATAATTCATCTAACTGTGAGGATTTTTGCGCATATATCCGTCAAGTATTTTCAAAAAATTTGAAATTTTGTTTCCTAATACATACATATAACATTTCAAAATTCATCACATTCGGATTATTTTTACTGACCGATAAGCAATTTTATTTTTAAATTTTTTTTTTCTTTCTTGTCTTGCATGATATTGGAAAGGTTGATTTGAATTACTGATAGCAATACTAATAAAATTGGCACACAATTGATAGCGGAATCTGATACCCAATTGGATAGAATGATTTTATTGTTGTTCGCTTACTATTTCTTAATTTTTTTTCCCCGATTTAGTTGAAATTTGTTGAATGTTTGTTTATTTTTTTAAATAAGTTGTTGATGTTTGTTCGATTTATTGATGGTTTATTTATTTGTTGACATTGGATGATTTATTGAATTTTGCTGAATGTTTGCTGATTTATTAAATTTTGTTGATTTGTTAATAGATTATTGATGTTTGTCCGATTTGTTTGATAATGATTTGTGGAAGTTCATTTGCTGATTTGGTTATCTTTTGTTAACAGTTTGTTCGTTTGTCGGCAATTCGCCTAGGTTATGTATTGTTTAGAATGAAAATACATAAATTTTAATCGATGAACTTTTTATTAAGTAATGAAGTAGAAAAAAAAAGTGAGAGATACGACCAATAATTTAATACGAACCACCTGTTGTGATGTCATATAACACTTGAATCATGTAAATAACTGCAAAAGTTCTTTCATGCTCTTGGAACGAAAGCTGGAATTCAGTGTTTGGTAATATTCCATGGCGGAATGCCAAGACAGGTGTGTTTTTTTTTTACTTAATTTGGGTTATTTGGCCCATGGAAGTGTTCGGTCCGGTGGGTGCTGTGGTAATTTAGTTGGGTGTTATCCGATTACCGGCCGGAATTTCTGTATAGGTATGTTCAATCCGGTGGGTATTGTGGTAATTTGGGGATTACGCGTACCGGTCGAATATCTCTATCTGTACTCACTGGCGATTGATTGGTTATTCATTGAGGTTTAGAAAAATTGTATGCATTTCGGTGATATTGTGACTATTCTGAGGAAACTTACAATGTCAATCATTGAATAACTCCTATCTCCCTGTTCGTCTTGTATTTCTTGCTATTATTTAGTAGAATATGTAATGGTTTATATCGAATGCTTGATTGAACATGGTCTGTTCTGTTAGGCTAAACCCCATGTGATATTCGAAATGAATGTTGCTAAAGATGTTTGTGATATCATTTTCCGGTTACTCCTGTGAATTCCACGTCAACTCGGACTTCCTTTTAATATATGAGCAATAGGAGAAAAAATTTTTCAGTAGGATAACTAAAATCCTTGATTCTTCTTTTATGAAAAGAATATTATTGCAAAATTCGAAATTTTCGAATTAGTCGCTAATTTGCAGCAGTGTAGTCAAAAAATGTGCTTATTAACCAAGTTTCCTTGAACTGAGACAAATAGTTTCATTAACTAGTTGAGAATCAAGATTAAATGTGGTTTGATTTACATAGCATATGTGTGGAATGGATTCCTAGTCAAAATGAGCTAACTACTACTAACTAGATTTTAAATTTTTTTAGCACTGTCCAAAATTTGCGTGTGTATGTCTAACAACAGTTTCTCCAGATTGTATTGTTTCTTGCAATTTAACATGGTTGAATTTCTTTTTAGGTGTGTAGGTGGCGTGTGACGCGTGCATTGCGGTGTGAGAGTAAGTCGGAGGCGGTTGAAGAGACGAGGTGGGAGTGTATTCTGGAGCTATGAGTAACAGCGATTCAGACAGGTGCTACAAATGCAACGAAAAAGGACATTTTGCCAGGAATTGCCCTACCCAAATACAGGATGCCGGCCGACGAGGAGGTGCGGGAGGTTTGATTTTTTGAAAAATTACTTCGGATATAATTCTACTGTTTAAACGGCCAAAATTCATCTGAATTGTCTACTCTGAGGATTTTTTAAGTAGAACCACACTGCCATGCGAAGTGAGATACCTTTTCTGGCTTTAACATGATTGCCTGATGAGCACCTTCTTTCATTCTCGAAAGCGATAGTATAAATTCGAGATTATCTCTATTAGTTTTTCTTGCACTGTAGATATCTCCGCAGTGCGAAATAGAAGCCTTTTTTAAGTTGCAGGTGAAGAAATTAGAGAAAAATTTTCAAATTTTTCTGGTATAGCTGTTTTTCACTATTTTTTACATCCTATGAGTAGCACTTCGGATTTTCGACAATTTTTTTCATCTCAGATTGTTATAATTGCGGGCAGTCGGGACATTTTGCGCGAGAATGTCCCAACCAGCGTGGGCGCTTTTATGGTGGACGTGGTGGTGGACGTCCTGGTCAGAGCGAATGCTATCAGTGTGGCGGTAAGTGGTTTTGATTTTTTAATTATTTTATACGATTTCTCTGCTGATTGGAGCACTTATGATCAGATATGTTTTTCTTATACAGTGTCTCATGATAATAGTTGGATAAATACGAACATACGTCATACAAGTATTTCATCAGCTTCACTAAGTACTGGTTTTTTTATGCAGATGTCTAATTGAGGCCTGATTTCTTTCGTCTTTTTAGGTTTTGGACATTTTGCTCGAGAATGTCCAACGGAACGTCGCATTGGTGGTGGTGGAAATCAGAAATGTTATAACTGTGGCAGATTTGGTCATATTTCACGTGATTGCCCGGATTCTGGTTCGGATCAGTCGAAACGATGTTATAATTGTCAGCAGATAGGGCATATCAGTCGTGAATGTCCGCGCAGTGACCGCAGTGATTAAGAAAAGTATTGGAGAGAGAGGCGATGCCATATTATTTTCTGATCGGGGGAGGGGTGTTAATCTTACGGTAAAGAGATTTTCTAATATATGTCAGATTTATAGCAGTGTGTTCTGGCGCTGCTTTGTTGCACTTTTTTTGTTTTTGTTTTCGAACAGTTTGTTGTATGTTTCTTGTTTCAGTTACAGGTTCCTCTTCCCTTTTTTAATGATGTTCTGAATATTTCAGAAATCTTTTTTAATGGAAATGTCAAATCTAACCACAAGTCCCTTTTCTCATTATTATCCGTCAGTAATATGATCAGCATAATATTGACGCTTCATCCTTGTTATTTTTGGATGAAAAATTATTTTCTAAAAGATCCCTCCCTTGTCTTACATCCATTCACATATACACACACCCATACACCTACACTTCATTTTACAGGCAAAGGAAAAAATGAAGGAAAGAATAATCATCAGGCTTTCACACATTTATGAAAGAGAAATGATCTTTAACACTTTCAAAATCTCTGTAAGTCATTCAATTCTCGCTATCTCGGTGTTATGCATTGTGTTGTTTTTTTTTGCTGAGTTTTGTTTTCTTCTGAATTTTAGTTAGGTGATCTTTTTCTGTGTGACTGGCGGTGAAAGTACATTTCTGAAAAGCATTGTTCCAAGAGTCTATCTGGTTTGCGTTTTTCCTTTTTTATATGCATGGTATCTCCAGCTAATTTATTTAACGGTGGTATATGTTTTTAGTAAAGAATCTCTTCCATTTCGGTTATTTTTCAAATCTTCCTTTCACATTCTTGTTCCAAATGAATTGCCTCAAAAGAACTTTTAGTATTTAATTGTGTATAACACTTTTTTCTGTTTCCAATTTTTTTTGCAGTCAAGCTCTGTTTGCGCTGTGTATCTTGTATTGGAAGTAATAAAGAGTGTGTTGCTTATTAAAATTTTAGTGTAACAACTCTATTTTCTGTAATGGAACTGAAAATCGGGCGTAGAAATGGGATCGTAAAGCGCCACAAACATAGAAATATAGGTCATTTCACGCACACATGTAGCCGGTATTACGTGGACAAATGTTGATAAAATGTTGATATGGGGTGGATAGCTGTGAAGAAAAATACGTCACGGAAGAAATAGTCGGCTGTAGTACGATAGACCAGTGTGAGATATGAACTAGGATTGGAACAATTTTTATTGCTTTTGCCAAGTGTTGAGAATGTCTTGGGAAATGTCAAGAGCAAATGAGAGGCATGAGATTACCACCGGTTAGCGAACTGTTGCATATAATTTTCCCATTGTTTCCGATTCAAGACGTACAACCGCATTGCAACTCGTGCATCAATAATCTGCAACTTATAGGAATTGAAACTTTCGATGACTTAGATTTCTAATATATCGCTAGCGGAATATCAACATTTGCATATAATGATTTACTCGTATGACTTACGAGCAGAACTGAGTCAACTTTATGGCTTCAAACTTCGACAGTATCATGGAAGGAGAACAGACATTTGGCAGTTGTCTATCTCACCATGAAAATTTCAAAAATACTTTTTTGTGAGCTTGCTCGAAAGCTTCATATTTAACATGTGTTCACAATTTTTGGAATGGTAAAAAGATACTAACTGAATCATGCTCCCCATTCTGAATATCAATACCCAGCAGCTGTTTTGCCAGTAATTTCAGCGAAGGAGTTTTTGAGATACGTAAGATTTTACGAAACGGCAAATACGTGGAGGTATCTCGTGTCATCCTACGCGTATGAAAAAGATTCAAGACCTAAAAGTTACAAAAAATAGACTTTGATCTAAAAAATCTACATATCTATGTAATGCTACTTTAATATTAAAGCGTTAGGTTATAAACTTACTTTAAAATCATTCTTAAGAGAGTGTCCAACGACAATTCGACCGCTGAGCAATTTATGCACCTCTGATTGAACTTTCTGGAATGGTTCTCCTACAACACCACATTTTAATACATAGCATAAGGGTTTGCAATGAAATAATGCAGCATTTAAGTGAATACTCTTCCTGTTTTCTATCATTCTTCGATATTTTCTCTTCGTAGAAGAAAAAAAAATTTTTGCAAATAGAAATTTCTGCTCTCATGTGAACAGTCGAGAAGTTCAACAATGTGATATGAAGACGGAGAGTTTGGTCTGATAATGTTATCATTATCATTTCAACAAGTCGTGAGTACCACACTGAAATTTTTCATAATCTACTTGGACCACAACTGTCAAATAACTTACCATTTACTAAATTAATAGGTCTAATGCCGCTTATTGGTGTACGATAATCTGTTACATTTTCCCTCGGTATCACATACTTGTCGTAGATACATCGCCCATGTATATTTACAATTGAAACTCTTGCAAGCATATTATCCTTGCCATTTATGCCAATACCAACATATTCACAGTCTATCCCAAGTACATTCGTTAACTCATTTTCCCTGTAAAGCAGATCATTTCTGGAAGGTCATAAAAATCATCACTTTCAAAAATTTGGCCTTAAATCCATTTATGCTAATCATTCAAATTCCTCCTTAATTATTGGTCCAAATACATGTTACTTACTAATTCATTGTTAAACAGTCATTATTGGGATAAGAGCCGTTCAAATAACAACCAAATTATCATATTTTCAACCATAAAAACAGAAAAATAATTAATGCTAAAACTTCCAACCAATTTTCTCGGCCTATTTCATGTATTTAGCTTACAAAGTAAGCAGAAAAAGGATAAACAAGCATACACAAAAAAGACACTACAACGAATAATTTGCCCACTCTTTCTGACTCTCTGTAACATCTGAAGTTGAACCGTCCGAACTATCACTTCCATTTTTCATAGACCCTTGTCGCTTCGCTTTCTTCCTGGTTAATCGAGCCATTCTTTTATGTTTAAAACTTACGCTTCTATTATTATTAGCTTGATTCCCGGATTTTGTCTCCTCTTGCTTTAACTCCTGTAAACAGCCATAATAAACTAAGCTATAAGAGCTGGAAAATGTCATATCTGCAGCCAAGCAACAGCAATTGGTGTAAGCAACATATATAGAACATGGCTTTCTTAAATAATGCAATTCAAATGGTCATTGAAAGATGCGTAACTTAACCTCAGTGAGTTGCAAAGGATACGAAAGTGTCAAATAAAATACAACTTAAAACTAAAAAAAGTGATTTGTTCTTAAATAACATTAGCACACTTTAGTTCAGCTTTTCGGAAGGACCAAAAGCCTCACTGTATAGATAGACAACTTAACTTTTTAGACTTACCAATCCCACGTTTAGCTTTAAAAGAAAATTTTAGAATCAAAAAAAAATCTCATTCAAAAAATACCTCTCGTAGCTGATTCCAATTTGTGGATAATCCTGCCATCTTGAAGTATAATGGATCACAAAATTATATTTGCTCAAACTTTCCGAAAATGTACATTCACAAGTTTCTGGAAAAAAAAAAAAACTTCAGACTGGGAGCATTTAAGGGCCAAAATTCAGAAGGCACTTCCAATTAACAAATAAATTCGAACCCGTCAAATCCCGAACAAACCACCAGTTCGATAATCAGATAATAATGGAAATTATGACGCATTCCAGCGTATTTTATATAATGGTTGGAATAGAATAATACGTATAATAATCACTGGAATAGAATAAAATAAAGGATAATGGAAGAGAAACATAACGGATAAGAAAAAACACAAAGAAATAAATGAATTTGCGAAATAGCACTTGAGAACAGAATAAAAAAGAGTGTGGGAGGTGGAGTGAGAGAAGAGATTGCAAGAAATGATGATATAGTGTACGTTATGTGGTAGGGCTTATGAGAAACTGAAGATAGTTATACTCTCATATTGTAACAGAGATTGAGAGTGAAAAAAAAAAGTAGCATCTTCAAAAATGGTTGCGATTGATAAACTTTCCGTTTCGTTACTGTTCATAGCTCAGATTCGGATCAAAGGTATCATCAGTGAGCTAAGTGGATTTCTTCAGATTTTTTCGAATTTTAAGAAAATTTCGGAAAAAAAGACAAAATCAGTAGGAGTAAAGGTGAAACAGTTCATTCTTTTTTTTTTTTTTCGCCCTTTTCAGACAAATATATCAAAAATAGTACACGGGAAATTTCTGAATATTCAACGAAATATATTTCATGAAATTTTGCTGCTTATCTTCCGCTATTTAATACAGCTTATTTCATGGCAATAACATGTGACTGATTACAAACTTTCTACATAAACTTTTAACAAAGCTTATCTATAAAGTTCAGAGGGTATCGTTCATTCATCAAATCACTCATTGTTCAATTATGATGCTTTCTTTTGATTTCATGTAAACAGCGTTCTGTTTTTTATTTTCTTTTTCTTTTTTTTTAAATGAAATTTTCTTAATTTATTTCGGGTAAATTTTTTTATATCGAATAGAAGTATGCATTTGCATTCGATGTGTTAACGTTTCCATCATAAATCGTTGTTCAAGCGTTTCGCTATCCAACAATCGAAATTGTCGAATTGTCTGTAAAATTGTTTGCATTTTTTTTTTTTTTTTACTTATAATATAATTCGATTTTATGTGTTATTCCGAATGTCATTGGAAACTCCTATGTAACATTATTTCTTATTAGTAATCTGATAAGATATCGACTGTTAGTCTTGCATAAAACATATTTAATTGGACTATTAATTCTATCAAACTTTGATTAAACTATTAACTCTGTCTTTACCACTCTAATATCATAATGAGATCAAGTTTGCTAATAAATGGATGAAAATTAAAATACAAATAATATGAATAAATTCAAACCCCATGTACTGGTAGATCTCGGCTAAAACTTATTCGACCAATATCTTCTAAAGCAAGTTTGACTGACTTCCCGAGTAATGGGCCTTGCTCAATCATTACAAAGCCTAAAATTAATCAGTAAAATTTAGTAAAATGAAGATTAATATTTTTGTTTGCTGCGCAATATATAAAAATATTGGATGCATGGAGTAGTTTTTGCTGCTTTTTCTGGCATATAACTGGATTTGGATTTTGCTAATAAGTAATTAATCAATTTATATACCATTGTTCATAACAGTTGACAGAGCAACTTCTTTCGTATTTGGTTTTATTGTTATAAAACCATATTCACTATGTAACTCCTCACGATTATTCATATCCCATGCAAAAGCTCTGAAATTAAATTCATTATTGAGAGTGCCTGACATCGATAAGTTGAATTGATAAGTTTTTGATAAGTTTAGCAAGCTGATGATAGATTTATTCATTGAACATTTAGTAATTTGGTTAAATGAGAATGTTTACGTATAGTTGAGTGCTTTAAGGGCTTTTAAACTGGAAGTTGGTAATGAAAATTCAATTTGTTCTCCATATGTAAATACAGGTATTGTTGGAAAGATTGCTTTGCCACCAGATTCGGCACGCCAAATTCCAATTAGCCACGCTAATGGCTTTAATAATTCTGGCACATAGCGTACATCATATTCTAAAATATTTAAACACATAAGAATGAAGCTCTTAAAATTTGCTTGAAAAGTTGGATAAGTAAACTTCCTTTAAGCTTCATATATCATTTATACACTTAAATTCACATCTGTATTTCATACTTGTAGATAGAAATTATATAGAATTAATTATCAAATTTATAATAAAAAGTCACAGGATTGATAGAAAATTTTTATTTATAAGTGAAAACTACTACTGCAAGATGCAAACATAAATTTGAAATAAATAATTAATTTAAAAAGATTATGTCGAAGTAAATGCTAACTTGTCTCGATTTCACCGCATACCATACATGTCATTAAACAATTTTTCTTGACATATGCTGATTTCAAGCATTGGCTTCCATTCTGTGAAATTAAATCAAAACAATGTCGATCTAAATCTTTGCATTTATCCGCTGCAAACAAACATTATTTTATGCATATTTTGTAATTTTATGGAATTCGCTTTTAACATTTTATGTAATTTTTTTTTTAACTTAAAATTAGAAATTACACATAAATATTATGGAATTAAAATTTTGTGATGTTGAAATGAAAATAAAAATAACGAATGGTATGGAAAAAGAAAAGAAAGGATTGTGGACGGATGAAACAAAAAGAGTGGAAAAATCTCTCGAGAGATGTTGTATTAAAAAGTGTGACAAAATTTTCTCCGAAAATTTATGAAACAACAATGAAAATCATTCTTGTAGGTTTCTGATGAAGAAATACCAGTTTTTAGTTTTTACAACATGATGGAATATAATTCCTTTTTTTTTTTTGCACAAGTATGAGAAAATACTTATTTCAATAATATTAATCAGTCACGCAAGAATACAACAGTGTGCATAATTAGAATGGTATGAATGACAAGCTG